CTGCAGAATCCTTTGCACCACACCTTCACAATAAATTAAAAAATATAATAATCTCTGTCTCCATCCAACCTCTCCCTTCAGCTGCTACTTAACTTCCTTAGATCTCCCCTTCATAATTACTTTTCCTGAGAGAATCATATTCATGTACTGTCTCCATGTTATTTCCCATTCACTCCTCAATTGATGTATATGACTCGGTTTTCCCACCTCATGTCTTTCTGTCCCCTGAGAATGCCTTTTAACAAGGTCATAAATTACATCTAAGTGGCTAAATTCAATGGCGGCCTTTCAGTTCTTTCTTACTTAACCTCTCCGTAGCATTCAACATACTCCTGGAAAGCACACTCTTTCTGGAAATGCTCTCTCCCTGTCCCTTCATTTTTGTGATACTCTTAGTTATTCATTTTTCTCTTGCACTAGCTGCTCCTTGACAATCTTTTTCTCTAGCTCTTTATCTTCTATGGGCTTTTAAAGCTTGGAACATTTTATGGCTCAGTTCTAGGGGTTTCTATCCTTCTAAATTATCCCCTTAGCATATCCAATTCACTTTCTAGCTTTAATTGCAATCTACAATTCCCATGGGCTTTCCCTGCTATTAGGATGAAGTTCTTCCTGAGACATACAAGATCCTGAAACACCCTCACTTCTTGTATTCCAAATACATCCTTCCTTCCTTCATTTCCATCACCTCATTGTGTTCCTTTACGCCCCAGGCATTTTTCCATTCTTCTCCCACTACATGTTCCAGTCCGCTCCCAGACCTCCCCAGCATTGCTGTCTGGGTTTTATTTATCCTGCAGGGCATAGCCTCAGTGACTTTTTCTCAAATAAGCATTTTTTGAGTCCTCAGACAAGGCTAGGTTCAATTTTATATAATTTCACGGCACAACACATCTCTCCAGGTTATAATTTAGTTAGTTACTTATGTAATTGTATCATATTCACCCTATAACCAGACACTAAACTCCATTGTTGGTAGTAGATACTCAATACAATTTATTCATTTATTAGACAAACATCTTCTTTTAAGAGCCCCTCCCAATTTTATAATTTGTAGGCTTCCAAAATATTGATATATCTCTACTCACTATCCTAATATTTAATGGGAGATTCTATTCCTTTTAAAAAATACAATTCCAGAATATCTTTTTGACTCCTCAGGAGTTTTCTGGAAAGAGCAATCCATGTGGCATTTCTGACCCACTGTCTGCTGACCAGTGGGGCAGAGAATTCGGTTATTGCCCTTTGTGATAATTAGAAGGGGCTCTTTGCCAAGCTTCCCCAGATGTATGAGAGCATGGTGCAGACCACAACAGATCACTTGGTGATGCGCTGGCTCCAGCAGGAATGGGGTTGGTCTCATCAGCTGCTATGCAGCTGAATTCTAGTATCTAGTTCAAGATGTGGCTCAGAATGGTGCTACTTGTTTAGCCTACTTCCCAGCTTCTGACATGAAGCAGAGATACTAGGGGTGGCAAGGCAAGCTTAATTGATGACTGGCTGTATTTTATTAAAGGGAAGACTGGCTGGCACCCAGTCGCCACTCTCTGTGGCTGAATGAGCCTACTATTGTAAGGAATAGATTTGCTTTTATTGTAGGATAGAAGGCCATTTTGTAGCCAAGTTCCAAGAAACTGCAGCAAGGAGCATAATCGGCTGACAGCCTCCAGCTGCCACACTTTGGGATCATGCCTAAGCCACACTCTCCACGGGTTTCTCTTGGCCAATAATGGATTTATTTTGAACCAGCACTCTCTCTCAAATTCTGGCTTCATTTTCCCTCAACAGAGTTTTGTCCTCTCTTAGCTTTGCAGAGGACTGTTGTCCCCTTCAGACTCAGGGAGTGGTAGAATTTGACATTTCAGGGTCACTGGGTCTATACGGCACAGTTCCCACTGAATTCAAAATGCGCACCGCCCATGCATGTTTGATGTTTTAGGGGAAATGGAACAAAACATGGAGAGTACCCACTCACAGACCCTCCTCCTGAACACATGAATGAGAAGGCCCATTGAAGGGCTCACCTTGGACTTCCCTTCAATGATGGGGGTCCCAATCTTGAGCTTCACTGTAGCTCGCAAATCTGTGGTCACCACAACTTCAAGAATTCAGTGCTTTACCTGGTGCTACTTATGGGAATGAGAGATAGCCCCACTGTTCATCAGCTGATTCCTGTATTTGACATAAAAAAATGCGCTTATCCTGCTAATGTCTAAATTTCTCATGAAATAAGTGGCATTTTGCAGGATATTCCAAGAGCAGAAACCAAATCTATATCACTTCTGTGAAAATTACATTAGGATTATTTTGATTTCAATTGAAGATACCAAATTAATATTATCCAACCCCAAAAAGAGGGGATTTATTAATTTAAATAAAAAGGAAGTTCAGTAGATAGATTTGTCTTTGTATACTGATTCTTGTTAATGGAACATGGAAGCTTCCAACAGCCCTGAATTACCTGGCTATTGTAGGTGGTGATCTAATAAGAAAGAGCTTATTTTGCATTTGGTCCAGTAATATTCCAGGGAGACCTTCAACTAACCTGCCTGAGCCATAAGCCCCTTTCTGGACCAATCACTACAGCTAGGTATGAAGGGGGAGCTCCATCCCTTGGTGTCTCCCAGCATCGAGGATGAAATGCAAATGCCCTATACAAGATCTGCTTGGGGAGGAAAGGCTGGCTAATTTCTCAGAGGAGAAGAGCTCCAAGCACTTTTCTCCTTGGGCTTTTATTGAGTTTAGCTCATATAGAGATACAGAGCATGCGCATAAAGCTCATCAATCAATGTTGAACAGTAATGATTAAAGGAAGGAGATATAATTTAAGGACAACAGTAAAGAGATTACAAGAGTCTTTCTGAGTCAGGGTCTGGTAGACAGAGTGATACCCATTTGGCCCTAAAACCTGGGAAAATAAACTCATCCTATTCTTGGACCCCAAACACAAGTACTTACTCTTAGCAAAGCAGGTTTCATAGGATTTAATGCATTCCTTTTCCAGGCCTAATTGCCCCCCAGAACCACCCGATCCAGTTTAGGGCTATACCTGCCCCTGGCATTGTTTCAAGCCAGAGTCAGGAGGGTGGGGCAGAAAAACCGAGAGATGAGGAGACTTCTTTCAGATAGAATGAGGATTCCGGCCATGACAAAGCCAAGGGGTGAGAGTCTTTTGCCCTTTCTCTGTGCCCCCCAAGTCCTTCCTGATGTCCCCTGTGCAACTGAGTCTGCCTTAGGTTGCCCCTGGCATTGAGGGATCTTACTCATCATTGACTAACCAGCCATTCTCCGGGGCCAAGTAGGGTGATGTGAGGGACGCAGGGGCTGTGCCCCTGCCAGGGGGACAGGTTTTGTCTCCTCGGTGGCCTATTTTCCCAAGGTCTCCTTGCTCAGCTCCATCCTTGGGGCCCTCTCGCCTGTTGGTGAGGCTACAGTTCCTGAAACCAGGCAGGATGGTTCCAAACATTGTAGAGGCATTCTGTGTAGAAAATATTTGCAGTATATATAACAGCTGAAATGATATAAATTATTTACATCCAAAGTATTAAAGGAACTCCTATAAATTAATAATAAAAAGAAAAATGACCTGAGGAAAATGGGCAAAAACCACAGAAGAGGAAAATGAATAACAATAAACATATGAAAAATTTTCATTATCGACAGTATTCAGTAAAATGAACATCAATTAAAACGATGAAATACCAATTTTATTTTACTTAAATGTAAAAATTTAAAGGTAAGTGTTGATGAATGTGTGGGGAAATGGGTTCTCTCCTAAGGGGCTGGGAAGTAGTTCAATATATCATGTGCATCCATGATTTATCTAGTGGAATAGAAATAGTGTAGCCAATAGAAATAATGAGGTAGTGCTGTATATATTAACATAGCAAAGTCTCCAAGACATACTGCTCAGTGGGAAAAGGCAATCTGCGTAGTGGAAAGTTTTAGAAGCCACTGGAGGTGCCCCTCCAGGAGGAGCTGCGGCTGAGAGTGTCATTTGGCTGACAGCCCACAGCTGCTGACTCAGTGGACTTTCGAGGCCAAAGAGAGGGCCTCCAATGTGAGGGGTAAAAATCTTGAAGCAATGAGGTAAGTGCAACCATAGCCACATGTCTACTCTATTGTAGAAGCCCAGAGGAGGCAAACCTACCACAATGTTGGGAAGATACAGAATTTGGGGTCTGGTATGGCTCCCAGAAAGGGGATGATGATCAAGCTGAGACAGGTGTTAACTGGGTGGAGAGGAAGGGAAAAGCATTCCAAGAGGCTGGAACTGTATGAGCGACTTATGATTTATGAGGGCAAGAAAGCTATATATATATATAGTTCCAATGGTTCCATATATATATATGGAACCATTGGAGGGTTGCTAAGTATTAAAATAAGAGGTTGGGATGGATTATAAAAGAGGAAGCTAACAAGGTAGGCAGAGTCCAGCGAAGCCTCTGATATCATTTCAGGGATGTTTGACTTTTTTTTTTTTTTTTTTAATGTGATGAGGAGTGACTGCAGGCATTTGAGCAGGAGAGGCTGTCTGAAAAGATGTTGGAGGACGGTAAGACCCAAGGAAGAGAGAACAGACAGGAGCTATTTCTGTTGTTCAGAAAAATGAATGTCTAAAAAAGAAGCTGGGATAGGTGAGACTAGTAGGAATCGAAGGAGGGGAAGAAATCAAGAAACACTGAGGTGGTATGACCTGTAGGTATTGGTAATAGGTTGGATGCGGGAGGTGGAGAGACAGGGAGGAGTCACAGTTAGATACACCCAAGGCTCTGGTATGAGTGCAGGAGAGGTGGCGAGATGAATCACATCAGGAAAGCTATACCTCAGGGAACACAGTGATGGTTGCAAAAGGCATCTGGTATTGTCCTTCTGTCACTGTCTTAAAAGGGATTCTGAAGGGATTTTCTTTCCCTTGTTCCTCCAGCCCTACACTTGCATTACTGGTCTAAGTGGATACTCACCAGCTGGCCGTGTCCATCATTACAGCCAAGTCTGAGAATTCCTGATTATACTTAGAGCCTGCGGAGCTGCTGACACAAACAGTCATTAGCAGACGACCCTTTTGTAACAAACTATGCTTTAAAATGTAAACTGTGGGGCACTTTCCTTGCATTGTCCAGAAGGAACTTTCTCCTGCCTGAGCCTGGATTAATCATGAGAGAGCTCGTCAACATTCCACTGGTACATATTCTTACCTTGGTTGCCTTCAGCGGGACTGAGAAACTTCCAAAAGGTTGGTTTGAGCAATCTTGTCTTCTTGTTGCCCTGTCACGGTTCTAAAGAGTGTGCGTGTGCTCTGGTAATGACTGATTCATATTATGGTGGGCTTGGGTTTTACTTGGTGAAGTAGGGGTGCAATGTATGGAGAGGGAGAGAGCTGTATAAATAAGTGATTGATTGATGGGCTCCTTTCTAGCAGTATCCCTCCCTGCCTTAAGTTGTGCAATAAAAAATTGAGCCAGGCAGGGCACATAGAGCCCTCGCTAGTAGAGGAAACATTAGCAGGTAAGAACATTAGACTGCAAGTTATCAAGATCTGCTTTATTTATGTGGATGTCAAACTTCAGGGTGGTCTAAATAGATGATGAAAACCTTTTAACTCAGGGATATAATCAACCCTACTCTCAGACATCCAGACTGTTCGCTTCTGAACAAAAAAAAAATCATTTTCACTTTTAATTTTACAAAACTCTTCATAAATATTTTAGTTCTTCACAAATCAGAATTAGAGAAAGGTGCACACAGTTTGCCTATTTTATAAAAGCCTGAAGACAATGGCTTCTCAATAACTTTGAGGCCGAGTCATGATTTGGCTTGGCAAGAGACTGTGAAAGTTTTTTTTCAGTGGCTTTGGAATGTACCGGAAATAACACCACCTCAGGGGAAAGGAAAGCAACTTAAGAAACTGACAAACACCTGTTGCAGTAGCAAGAATGTCCACAGTGATACGGTTTCTGGCCAGTGTGTTATGAAACTGAGACTAGTGTGTTTCAAATCAGGAAGAAAGACTAGAAAATATGTGATTTGCAAAGTGACCAAGGGCTGCGTTGAAATCTTTTTTTAAAAGACATGAGAAAGTGGATTGAATGGTATCCATTAAAGTAAACAGTTTTCAAATTAAATGTGTGACAGTAGCATAAAAAGACTTCTGTGTTTTATGACACACTCAAAGAAATTACTTTCCCTTTATATATTACTTTATCAAAGAACTGAACATACTTGCCTTGTATAGATAAGCAAAGGTAGTATCTGTATATAGATGGGAAATATAGCTTTAGATTTTGTGGTTCATTAAAATTTCTGGAGCCACAATGTCAAGATTCACATGCTAATAAGATACAGCTTTCTTCATAGTCTGATTTCACATTGTTTTGTTTTTTTATTTTCCATTTTACAAAAGCAGTATGATATCTTCACATGCATTTAAACATTTAATTGCCAACTAATCCTTTGAGGTATCTGCAGATAAAAGAGAATCTAGATCTTTTCAAACAGCTAAGAATAGCCAGAAAGACTTAACGTTGCTTTCAGATTATTTTAATACTTCCTGATCATACAACGGATGTCCAGCAAGACAGCACCTGGATGCTGGTACTTACTGATTGTTATATCTTATTTGTGCTATTCTGAACCACAAAGTTATATAGAATGACGTGGTAAATGCTAAAATTCAGTAAAATGTGGTCTTCTAAGGAGCACAACAATGGATTTTGATGGTTTAAATTAGAATTTGGTGCATGAAAAAGGAAAAAAATAAACATTTTTATGTGAGCAACTCCTAATTTACATTCTGGAAAGTAATGAGTTTTAGTTTCCAAATTTTACAGATAAAGCCCTTATTTCAAATGCACACTACATTTTGAAAACTTCAAAATATGGTGCATAAAGGTAACAAAATCAGATATCCTGGCTTAAAAAAAATCAGATTGTTAATCCAACTTTATTTATTTATAATTTATGTGACACTATCATTAGAGTGTAAAATAAAAAATTAAAACAATGTTTTTGCCTAGTCTCCTGTATTTATTGTAAAATCTAAATTAATATGCATTTAACATCAACCTTAGCCAATGACATCAAGTCTAGCAGAACAAAGGTCAACTTACTACACAATCCAGCTCTGAGAATAAAATTATCATGAAAATACAGTCTTTAAAGTTGTAAATGTTGAAATGCATGGACTATATTGGTACAAACAAAACACAACAATGTGCTATTATTTTAATATTATTTAAAGTAATAAAATGTTCTATACAAACTATTTCACAGTTTTTAAAAAATTCTTGAGAGAAGGCAATTTTGAAAAATGTTTTTTCGTTTGTATATATTTTTCCTAAGTTCTTTTTCATGAATAAATCAGGGAATCTACCCAATACTATTTTACAAAACAGATTGTGAGATTTAAAATAGTGCAGGGGTATTCAGTGGATTCCTTTCTGTCAGCATGCCATTTTTCTCAATAAAAGTAATAGCCAACTTGGTGGAATTCATAGTTTACTATTTTAGTTTCAGTTTAATCAAGATTCCTAACATTCAAAGACAAAAGTCACCATCTTTTCAAATCATTTTGACTAATGAAACTTTCAATGATGAGCTCAATATCATAACCCAGAAGGAGGAGAATTTTATTACACACCATCATGTATGAAAGTAGCTAATGTTGCACTAAATTGCTTGCCTTAACCTCAAAAATGTTTAATGCTTTAGCATAAAGTATTAAGCGTAGAGCAGCACCTAAGTTGTGGGAATACAGGAGTTCATGTAAGCAGCACTGAATTTGTTGAACATGCATAAAGAACTCCTTTCTAAGCTTCATTTTAAAAATGACCTTGTTTAGTAGTACACCTAAAAATATTTGAGTCTGACTGATTTACTTTAGAGATATTTGAGTCACCTCCTCTTCTAAGTCGTATGTATAGAGGGATAGGATTCACAGGCTCGACATATGACTAATTCAGAGAGGGCACAGCTGTCATTAAAATGCAGGACACCAAGTCCTGGATGATTGTTTAATACTGATGTGCATTGAAAGAGTAACTCATTGCATGTTAGGGAGAAACCTAAGTTGCTTTAAATATTATTAACCTCAAAGAACAGAAAGAAGGAGCAGAAATTTCAAGATTTCTACTATATTTCCCAAGGTGAATTAGGCAATGGTACAGTGAAACAGAACTTGGCATTTATTGGGGGAAAGTGACAAATGAGGGGTGAGTAGAGGACCTGAAGAAAGTGGTCTCACTCAGGCAGAGAAGTGCAGGGGACCAGAGAATGTAGAAGTGCTCCTGGGCCACACTGAAAATCCAGCTGGGGCTGAGGCACCTTGACAGCAGCTCCGATCGGTACCACAGTGTCACTTTATCGGACAATAACACATGAACAACGGAGTCGCGAGGATAGCTGTCTGGATTAGTTCAAGATTGGTGCTTTCCAGGCAGCTAAAGAACTATAGAGCAAGAACGCTGAGATTTGCTGGCACAATAACCATTGCAGTATAGGTTGAATAACGAAGAAAGTGAAATAAGAACACTTAAGGCCTGGAGAAGTGTTCACCAGTGCTCAACACACAATGTGATGGATTACGCTAAGGACTGTCGGTGACTGGTGAAATGATTACTCCTGGGTATATTTACATTTATATGGATCCCTGTGAAATCATGTCTTAACCCAAAGGAATGTCCCCAGGAGAATCAATTTCAGAAATTCCACCAAGCTGAGCCAGACTCCCTACTTGCCTGTATCCAGTGTCATTCCTGAAGGACCAAGAGTGTGCTCTGAGGCAAAGAATTAGTGCTACAGCACTGATAAGTAATTATTGAGATTATCAATACACCTCACAAGTTCCAAAGACATCACAATACAAAATGACTTATATGTTGTTAAATATATCACCAGTAGAATACACATGTCAGTTTCTAAAATGTGTCAAATGATGAGCAATACTGAATATCCACTTTCTTTGGGGGCTTTGGAAAATTTCCAATACCAAAATGTTTTCTCTGTATTTATCATGTTAGAAAAACATGAATATGGTCCAAGTCTAAGCCCGAATTTTACTAACACAAAAAGGAGTAAATACACCTGACTTCCTTGTTTACTCAATCACTTGGCCATGTTAATCAGCAACTATTCAATCTGAAGTTGGTATAGCAGTGACCAACGCACTAGAGCTTGCTTGTAAAGGGGTAATATTACATCCTTCTCATCAAGCAGATAGTATTCAAGTTACAGTACTCCTTGGGTCCAGAAAAGCGTTGTATTCATTTTCATGTATTTGTTATTCATGTGGTCCTTGGATGGAGGAAAGAAATAGTGCCCTAGTTTAAACAGGCTCTGACTGAGATGAAAGCTGGACAGAAGAATGAAAGTAAACAAGAGATGGTCTGTTGCATTAACCAGGATCATTAAATACAACTATGTGATCCTGTCAGTAACATTTTGAAAGCAAACTTATCTGGAGAATTTTGGAATATGGAAGAAGTGGATTTAACCAGCTAGATTCTACTAAAAGAAATTGACATTGAATATAAATCTTACCATGCCCCACCTCCCCAATCTGTGAGTAACTAGTACCAAGCTGAAGGCATGGTACAGCTTAGAGTTAAAAGACAGGAAGTTTAAACCAGTTTTAACCTTGAAATTCAGCTCTACCACTTTGTACTTTTATTATGTTTAGAGAAGTTATTTAATCATTCCTAGCCTCCATTTCTCATCTGCAAATGAGAATAATAATAGTATGTGTTTTATGCTTGTGATACACAGATGAGATAATGAATGAAAGAATATAATGCATGGCCCATAGCAGGTTCTTAGTCAATTTTAGATGCTAAGTTATTAAAAACAGAGTCAAACTTCACATAAAATTGCCATACCACAGAACATTATGGGAAGGTGTTAACTTAATAAAGTTCTTAGTAACCCCTCACATATTTCTCAATGTCTGTTTGTCAAGGCATTCTAACATTTACTTCTTTGATCTTAACTGATCTCCACAGAATTTGTTACCTCATTAGAAAGATAATATTAATAATATGTCTATTATTGCCATCACTTCTGCATCTATGTATTGAGTGAGAACTAATGAATAAAGTTTTTAAATAAAAATAATACATGGTCATTAAGAACAATTTTGAAAACACAAAATATATAAAAGTTGAAGAGAAAAAGTCACCCATACTTACAGAGTTGTTAACATGTTGGCATATTTTCTTCCTTTTTTTACTACATATCCTAAAA